TAATGTTGTCATTAAAAAAAAATAAAAAAATAAAAAAAAAAATAAAAAAAAAAAAAAAAATTGAAAACTGCACCAGCCCGCGCGAGCCAGCCCGCAGCCAGGCACGTGGCCGGCACGGCACGAGCCCGCCAGGCACAAGGGCCGTGCCGTGCCGTGGGCTGGCCTGTGAAAATGGCCGGCACGGCACGGCACGAAATCCTGGGCCCGCCGGCACGACCGGCACGGCACGAACCAGCCCGTGGCCCGCCAGGCACGGCCCGCGGCGGCCCGGCACGGCACGGTGCCCAGGATTAGTTGTAGTACACATTGTAGCAGCAAAACTTGTTGAGAATTTAATATCTTTCCTGAAAATAGTATGAAATGGCTTTTAATTAGACATGTGCATGTGTTCCAAAATATTCATCAAATCATTTGCTATAAAAATGATTCATGATTAGTCTTCCCTTCGTTTTTTTTTTCATTTGAAATCTTGTACGATTTTTAACGTAATACTATAATAACAAATTAACAATATCATTCAACATGAATAATAGTAAAAAAAAAATTAAAAAAAATATTAAGAAACTAATATTTGAGATAAATTTAATAAGATCTCACATTTAAAATATGTATTTATCTTTAAAATAAAAGATTTTATTTGCATTGGAATATCTCGGACTGAACAATCAAAAAGAAATAGATAGAGTAAGTACAACATCATTAATCAATTAATTAAGGCTAAAGGATATGGCTTACTACAAGTTATTGAAAATTTGAAATCCTTTTTATCCAAAGTGTGTCAAGAGACATAAGAATGTATTATGGTCCCACCTAACAAATTATATGGCAACAAATTGTACAAGTTATTTCCTCTCTAACATCATTGTTTTGTACTTGTAATCTTGTTGAGGAAAGACAATGTGTAATGGGTGAAAAAACATGCGTCTTTTACTTATTTTTGGCACATAGGATATGGCTATTTTTCATGTCTTTTTCACTAGAAAAACATAGAGTTAGTTGGGGGAAGAAAGATATGCTAAGCTTAAGGTTAGTTGACTATGGAATAGTAATGGAGTAGAAAGGGTAACATAGCATCATAATTGTAATTTCAATTGGTAAATTCTTTGAATCAAGATTTGAATTGCGCTTGAAATAAAAAGAAAAACATGACTAGATAAGTGAAAGATGCATGTCTATGATTACTTTCTTGTACAATACTTTGATTCAATCCTTTCATTCAATATTAATTATCTCGTAATAATTTTGTCATATTTAAATCTCATTGTAATAAATGAGTTTTTTTTTATGCCTTTATTTCCCACCTTTTATTCGTGATGCAATTATGTCCATATAGTTAATTTCAATACCGATGGTTACTTTTGTACGATCAATTTAAAAACATTAAGTAATGCAAATTTTTCTTAAAAACAAAATGATTTGAATTATATTCAATTATTTAATATAATGTATTAGCCATACGAAAAACTAATCCACTAATCTCTCTTTAATTTATTGAATATCACACTAGTTTAGAAATTTCTCAATTCTAAGAAGGGGCAAATTAAAAAGACTTAGAAATTAAAGCATAGCTAACACACCCTAATCAAATCAAGCAAATCGATCAATATCATAATAAAAGCCATACAAATGAGATATAAATTAAATAATATAATGCCAACTTCAATATGCAATGAATCTGATAAGAAAGATCCATGTGACAAAACGAAGATTTCATAATTCATTTTCTTTTATTTTTCCCTTTTATTTTTATATTTTTCCCTTTTACTCAACTATCACCAATTCATTTTCTTTTATTTTTCCCTTTTATTTTTATATTTTTCATTTTAATTTTTTTTTAAACAATATAAATTTAGGAGAATTAATTTCAATTGGACATATAAGTATATAAGTATATAACACATCAAATAACAAATTAAAAGAGATCAAAGTGGTCCATCATCAACATGTCAATATCAAGACAAATTCTGCATCAAATATTCATGGCCAGTTCATGATCATGGGGTCTTAGTTTTTATCCATACAATATCTAATTAATTATTTTAATAATCACTTTAGTAAAGTATATCATTAATTTTTTATTTTATTTGTAAGAATTTTAATTATAATTTTTAATGTGACCCTTTAAAAGTCTCAAATTGGCATCATTCCCAAAAAATTGAGCTGGCTCAATTCTACTTGTTATTTATTTTTGTGACTGTCGGCTGTCATAAATCAAATAAGCAATTGTGTCTATTGCCTATATGATTAACTCATCATTCTTCAACAAATGTTGCCACTAAAAAATTAAAGGAAGCAATTGAGTGGATATCTTAAATTCTTAATAATGTACTACTTGGATAATAACTAATGAAGGTTAAAAAAATAATTCCAATATTTTTTCTAACTCTCTTGTCCTTTATTTTTGCTTAGTGCTTAGCCTCTTTTATTATTATAGATTTTGGCTATCCAATCTTAGATTTTAAGGATTATTTACTTTTAGTATTGGTATTTTTTAAAGTGTACTTATTTCGGAGATATCTTCTTCACATCTACTCCCTCTATTCCTTTTTTTTTTTGGTCAAACTTTATAAATTTTGATCGTAAATTATCGTTAATTTATAAGAGATAATATATTCATGAGTGATCTTGTTAGATTTGGCTCATTGCATATTTTATTAATATCACGTTTATATAATTTTTACATGTATGGAATTGAAGATATGTGCGTTTTAAGAAGCGTCTTAAAGACCGTGAAAAGTCAAATGGGGCAAAAATAGGAACAAAGGGAGTACAAGCTAATCAAAAGGAACAACTAATTCTTATTTTGCCGGATAAAAAGGCTTATAAGGTTAAATGTTACCGAGTACAAAAATATTTGGTGGTGTTCCATTGGTGCTTATGCATTTCACATGAGCTAGGAGCTAGTTTGTTTATCTGAATAGTTACCAGCTCGGTCTAGAGTAGGCCACCCTTACTGCGCATGTATGTTCATGTTAATTTTTATTTTTAATTCAATATACAATATTAGTTTTATCGGAAATAGGATTGTAGGAGTCTATTAATTGATAACCGAAGAATAGGTATATAAGCTTAATAATGATAATGAACTTTAATTACTATTCATATAATTGAACCTTTATGAGGAAAATTGAATAAATTTAGTCCACCCCTTTTCCATCTACCCTATCATTATTTAACATCCTCAAGAAGAAGCCAAAAAATATCACAAAGCTTAATCAACTATCACAATCAGAAAAGACCCAAAACTAATTTCAAAGAAAAGGAATTATGCATGTCATCAATCATGAAAGCTCCTACTACTTTGCTAGTGACATAAAAAGCACAAACTTAATTAAAAACCATGAATTTCAGTGGCAAAATAATGATCACAATGAATAAATGTTTTGACCTAAATTTTTGAGGAGCAATTACACCAAAGCTAGGCTAGGTGCACAAGAAAATTTACCACATTTTCCGGTGACAAGAGTCAATAGCACATGTTAGTCATTTCATAGTGGTAATTTAATGAGGAATAGGCTTATAAAAAGTGAGCTATGACAATAACAAAAATAATAAGGGCCAAGTTGAAAGAGTTTGTTCTGATTCCCCGGATCATGTTTCTATGCATATTCCATTAGTCTTGTCATATGCTTCAACAACATACAATAACATTTGTCCGTCTCGCTATAATTGTTCCATTTGATCATTTTCTGTTAGAGTTGTTCGGGTTAAATGATATAATGTGGGGTGAAAAGATTATATTCCAATTTCACGTGATCACAAGCTATGTTTGGATATCTTCACACTTATGATTCACATGAAAAATGTGACATTATACTTGTATTAGTTAAGGAAATAAAATTGGATTTTCCTTGTAGTTGCTTGGTGTATAAGTTCAACCCCATCTTTGTGAAAAAATTTGTTAGGTTTTGGTTTTCTTTTGAAGTTGCTAATTATATAGTTCAATTCCATCTTTGAGAAATTGTTTTGTTAGATTCACCAAAGATTTTAATGCATCTTCTTTTAGGTGGACACGAAAAAATAAGAAAGTTTTGTCAACGAGTTGTATCATCCATATCAACCAACTATTTGGAAATAGTATGGCTTTATCTTGATAACATATAATGGATCGAGTTGATTACCACGTGTTCAGGGTAGTAGTGTTGGTCTAGTGATAAGATTAGTATCCCACACATCAAAGGTACTCTAGATGGTAGGATACTCCGGCCCTACTCTTCCCTCCTATCTAGAGCCAATTTTATCAATATTGTGTCAGGTTGACTCATGTAAGATTGTACTCTGTAATTTTCTAATTTAGTAGGCCGTATCCTAATTCTTTTATTTTTATTTTACTCGTAGTTAAGATAAGAATTTTAAGAGGGGCTAAGGCTTTGTCTTCACCACTCAAAAGCTTCATCCCTGGTCCCAAGTTCAATTGGCTAGTGGTCATTATACAAAAATAGTAGATTTCGTACAACACGATGCGGTAGAGCGACTGTTAGGCAATACTATAGAAGAGATAAATGTAATATATTATCTTTAAAATTTGGTCCGAGGAATAGTAGTAATGATTTCTGGACGCACTCCTTTTGAACATTCATACAAATGCATCACCGAAAAGATTGGAACAAATTTAGGTGAAATAGTGTATATTTTTTTTACCTTTGTTTTTAAGATAATTAACATTATATAGTTATTGAGCAAAATGACAATTTATTTACTTTCTGATACCCAAATAAAATAATTTACTAAGTTAATTTCTTTTTTCTTGCGCTTGAATTACAAGTAAATAATATATTTCTTTTTGTTTTTTCCTATCAACTTGATGATTGTTAAGTGGCTAATATGTTAGTTATACTTAAACTTAAATTTTATTGTTAGAGCTCAAGTGGTTAGAGCACCCCTCCCGATTTCAGGTGATCCTGGGATCAATTCTTATCACTCGCTCTTGTGGCTCACTAAAAAAAAAAAAAAAAAAAAAAAAAAAAAAAAAAAAAAAAAAAAAAAAAAGAGAGAGAATATATGAAATAGCTATTGCAATCAAGTGATGTACTTGGCCTTACTATATCGGCAATAACACTTAATAACAACAGCAAAAGCAGTTCATTAGTTCATTACAAGCTAGAAAGAGAATTTGAAATCAAATCATCTACTTTCATCTTCATCAATTCCGGTTCGAGTTTGATCTGTCTTCTGCTTGGGGATAAACTTATGCAGATTGTATATATATACTCTCTCCATGTATAATTGTCACGTTAATATAATTTGAACTGTAGTAAGGTGATAACTGATGACAGTAGTGCTTATTACCCTCAAACTCCTGTGAAAAGTCCTGCCCTCTCATGACGTCGATGAAATTTACTGATTCAAGTTTCGGGCAAACATGCAGGGAACCAAAAAGTTCAGGGTGCGTGACTTTCCTGGATAGTTACATCCTTAACAACTCAATATGAATCGCCTTCAATGCCAGACTTGAAGGCGTCGGCGCAACAGCAGCTATTCAGCTGTTAACTGCCCCTAGAACAATCAGTTTGCCAACTTAATCAGGTATTAAATATTGACAACATTAATAATCACAAAATCTTGAAAACTAATTTGTAACTGTCATTCTGTCTAAAGGCTCAAAGTTCTCCACGTCAAGAAGTTATATATATAGTAGCGTAATCGAAAGCTAATAAATGCAAACATTCCCCAATATACCTTCCGTCCATGTCCCTCTCTTAGTCCCTTAAGAGAATATGGGCGAGGGGGGCACCGTCACATGGAAGCTGCAATCAATCAAAATGGGGTTAATAGACAAAAGGCTGGACATTTGGTGAGAAAATAAATGAAACAGGGCATAAAATCATTTTTGCGTACTTAATCTTCATGTCAAAGGTCAGATGGAAGCATTATTTTTCATAGAACATACAAAAATCTAAGATTCAGAATTCTGACCTGAGCAAGGGAGATCATTAACTGGAGCCAACAATGTGCAATAATGGTTTCGGCGCATCAATCATGATCTGTGAAAGTTACCACATACAACACACCCTTAGCAGGTGAAGCATCCTTAAAGGATCCATCAATATAAGATATGAAGAAAGTGAGAACTTAAGAGGCTGAGATTATTGGTTCATTGGTTGTACACTTGTACCTGTGATTTTGATGTTCAGCTGTATTAAAAAGGACTTTCCTTTCCCAATCGTCCTTTAAAATCACAGGAAACGACAAATCCGATATTAGGTCCCAAACTGGCTAAGCACAAGAGTAACTGGAGTTACATACAGCAAGTTGGAATATACTTTCGGCGATTAATTGGAAGAGTTACTAATCATATCAAATCAAGCTAAATGATTCTAGAATTCAACAAGCAAATGCAAACTAATAAGAGAAACAATAGATATACTCCAGTAAAACAGTCTACAGCTTTCGTAGTCACAATTCTTTCCCACAAACTAGTATCAAGAACAAAACAGCAAACTGTTACCCTACCCCCAAAACTCCCCGAGAGAGGAAACTTTTTCATAATATATACCATTCAGAAATGGGACAGTTACTCTGCAAGAGGTTTATTTCAGAAAAGAAAGTACATAGCCAGCTTTCAGACAATTTCAGAACACATCAGCCGCATAAGTTCTTTTGAAATTTGAATAACTTGGACCTGCAATACAATTAAATCATCTTCAGACGACCTAGAATCATACATCACATGTGTGAACTTATAACACTGCTATGTATTTTTCTCAGCAGTTCAGCAAATGCAGTTCATGAAAAATTAAATAATTGTTTAGATGTTTTCATCCTAAAATGGCTTAAAGAAGATCCCAAAGCAGTCCATGGCAATTGAACATAAGGACTCAGCAAGGAGCAAGGTGGAAAATTAAGGAAAGAATGCAAGATCTCATAACAGTTTCCGTCCCTCTATAGGTTACCAGGGTTTCACTGCTAATTTGGAAAAATATAAAATGATAGAGGAAGAGCCACACGTTTACCTACGCTTAAAAATAGTCAATTCCAACCTCATCGTTTGCACAGCCCCGGGAACTAACTTAAGCAGACAAGACCAGGGCATGAATCCCAAGTTCCACATGTCCACATAGGTCTTGTACGCAGATCCGCAAGGTGGAAGGCAGCTTAAATCAAATTAGGAGAGATATAAGTGGGTAATTAGGAGGCCATTCACAATAGTGATTATAGCCAATGTGATAGAAGACTTAATTAATACTTCATCATATATGTTTTCTGAGCTCCCAACATAGAATTCATTAATAGTAAGGCTAATTATATTCTTCTATACATGACTAGGTTTACAGAAGAGCATATATACATGTCTGGCTAGCATTGAACAGACGTGTGTCTGACATTATTTGAGAAAGACTAAACTAGCTATTTCCTAATTTAACAAGAGAAACCTTGTATATCCCACTTAAAAATCTATTACAGTAGGTGGTCGGTGGTAATAGCCAATAGGCCTCCATCAAGGCTAAATGATAGGAAATTATCCACATCATAGGAAGCTGTTTTGTAAATTTGGCTCAGGCACAAGAACAAAGGAAATAGTAATGTTCCTAATGTACATGCTCACAAGTCCCTGAGCTCTGCTTACATGATTCAAGAAAAGGCCATATACATGACGCAGCAACTCTAATCACATGTTCTTTAAAAGATAAATTCCTTCAATCAATCATGAAGTAAAATTTAGAAGATGGATCAATATCATAACTAGAATAAATGCTCACTGGGCAAACTACTCAGATCTGAGAAAATTGTATGCAGATGAAGTCCTTCTAATCATATCGAAAAAGAGCCAGCAATGAAAAAGGAAAGAAAGGTATGGAACCCACCCAGAACAAATATGATCACATTGCTTCTCTTATAAAGTTATTAGTTCAATATTCAAATCTGAAATGAGTTTATAGCTGCGAAGATTGCAAAAAATGTAGCTTTCAAGAACAAACTTCAGAGTTTCACAGAGAAAATTACAGTAGCCTAAAGTAGAAGATGAGCCACACAGCTCAACCAGAAACTGTCTTCACAACTTACAGTGCATATTGGACAGGTTACACTTCATTCAATGAAGCAGAAGCTAAATAATCTGAGCTCAGCTATAACCTGCGTCTGATTCAAAGTTCAGACACAAGATTCAAGAGCTTGGCCATAAGGTAAACAGGATGAAGTGGACAACTATTTTGTGCTTCTCTTGTAAATATAAGCCTCTGCACAGAATTAGTTAGATGTAGAAAGTAAGAACAAGAGACAATGGGGCATTAAATAGACAACCCCTGACTAAAAGGGAAATTTGACCTAAAAAGAGAATAAAATGCAAAAAAAAAAAAGACAATCCCTTGAATCATAGGCTATGTATATAACATCTGAACATCCAAAAGATGGATTGCCAACATCTCTCTCTGTTATCCAAATCCCCTAAAAAGGAAGTTATGATGGAACAATAATTACAAAGAGTAACAAGGATGGATATAGCAATAACAATGTATTGCATCCATGATCACTTATATTACGTAAAGATATGGACAAAGGTTATGTAACAAAGTGAAAGTCAGCTACTAACAGAGATCACAGAAGCATGATAAGCAGGGCTTTTTCATATCTCGGTTACATATGTCCCCGAATCACAGAAGAACTAGCCTCAGTGGAGCTTGAGGATTAGCAAACTTCAGTATTCTGGATAATGTCTAATATCTGGTTACAGAAAATGAAATCTTCACCAGTTACACTTATACAATAATGCTCCTATCTTCCAACACATGAATCTCACTTAAAATGGGCTAAAATCTCTACTAATGCTCTCAGGAGAAAATGACATACATCGTCCAGTAGCAGCAGAGTGAAATAAACCAACAACATTAGTGAATTAAGGAGAGCCGAATTGTTTTTAGAAGAGTTATAATTGATCTTAAAGAACAGCTGAGATAGATAAAATTCGATGATATAAGGCAGCCTTTTACAATGAGTAAAGAAAATACCAAAGTTACAATTCAAACTTAATTACATAAAAGAAACAAATCTTCAACTATAAAGATACACTACATACTGACAGTGTGAGAATTAACATTGAGACACACTTATATCTTTACCATCTTTTTTAAGGACCCAAACCCAATTTCAAGGTTTTCTAGAAGTTGAGCAACAAAAAATCTATGACATCATAAACAAAGAATGACATATTTACTTCATTTTTCTTTCAAGTTTTCTGAATTCTGCTCACATTATCCATAAATAATAGGATGCTAAACAATCTCTAGCTAGCTTACCATATACGAAGTGGCTAATTTCCTTCAACAAATACATGTGAGTAAACACTATCATTAATTTCCTGAAAGAGTATATTATCCTGTTCTATATAAGGAACCATAATTTAAATAGCTAAGTTCATACTCAATAGTATTTCTAGTCACATATTTGTTATCTTCACTAATGTCATAAATGATTCTTCTATCTCAATTTTCAAGGTAGCAAGAAAGTTACTTAAACTTGGAGCAACCATAAACCAATCCAAGGAATGCAGGTCATTGATGAGACCATATGAGACTTAGCACTGATCAAAAGGGTAAGCTGGAATAACTCTAATCCAATATAAAGATTGAAAATGGAACCTTTTTAAGTATCAACACAGATACCTTGTTGCAGACACAAGATTCTGGCTTTACATCCTTCAGCAGACAAGCATTCAAGGCTCCAGCATCCCAGAATGAAAGAATGCAGCAGCCAGCAATGCGTAACAGAGACATCAATAGCATCATAAGCTTCTAGAGCAAGGGATTTGATGCAGATACTGGCACAGTCACACCAAAACAGAGGTGGCAGATCCCAGTATCATCTTTATGCATCTGGAAAAGCCCCCTGCTATGGCCCTGGAAATGCATTGGGAAGTATCAATAATATCCTGAAAGGAAAATTCTTTCATTTTCTTTCTTTGGATAAATGAAACAGCTCATATGCCATGAATAAAAGCACATATCACTGCTTTAACGAGAAAGTAGTAAGATGACCGAGGTGTAGGTCACTGCATCAATTATAAAGGCACAAATGATGGCACACTACCAAATATCAATAATATAGAAGCAGCTAAATGCAACTGTTTATCAGCAATTAGCAAACTGCTTCAAAAATTATACAGACTGCAATTTAACTCTTATCAAACAAGAAAGCACAAATGTGATCACAAATGTCGTAAGTATAATAAAAACTGCTCCGACAATGTTTGAAAGTTAGTACAACAAATGCATCAGGATGCAAAACATTGGACAGCAAAATCCTGTGAGAGAGCCAGGGGTAGGGAGAACAGGTAAAGAGAGAGACAGAGACAGAGAACGAAAAGAGAGCAATAATCTCAGAAATTAAAAAGCATTCATTACTTTGTCATAGTACCAAGTACAAGTATTTGTAAGTAAACTATTGAGAAACCAAAGAGCTAATACACAGGCAGCGGAAGACACAACTTGGGTTGCTTTTTTACACTTGTGAAAGACAGTCAAAGAGCCTACTATCTACTGCAATAATTGACGAAAAATTGGACAAACCTATGATTTGTCAACTAGAAGGAATGCAGGTACTAGATGCAACCAAGGTCCTTATCTCCTTCAAATGTTCATCAATTGATATATGCAGTGAATGGCGAAGGTTTGTCAATAAAAGTTCCTGTTCCCAACTTAACGGACCTGATGCATGCAATGCCCCTATAGTACAACGATAGGCTTGCAATTCTAACCTATGTATTTCTTCTGTCAACTCCTCTTTTGCGGGAAGGGAAGAATTTCCTTCCACAGGTCTCAACTGACTACAAGATTCAGCATCACTATTTTGACTGTCATTATCTTCACAAGGAACTGTGGAAAAAAAACGATGCAATTTATGGGAGTAATTCCCATAGACACTACAACTACCAACAGAAGATGAGACACTGTTATCATCATCTGATTCTAAACTAACTGAACGTGAACATCCAACAGCACCATCTGTTTTCTCCCTCTCCAAAATCAACTCAGAACACCCAGTTACTTTGTTGGTTAAAGAAGGATGCATGCATTTTTCATGCAGCATTTCTCGTGAAGAAGCAACATCATCTACCTTTTCAGGTAATTTGGATTGTTGCTGCATGTCCTCTCTTTTCTCCACTCTAATTTTCCGCTTAGGCACTGCATATGCTTCAATCTGAGAATAGCAATGAGATTGCTTCCTTTTCAGAGCTCTGGAAGGAATCACAAGAGATTCCTGAAGGTTATCAGGATTCCTAGTGCCAACATGGTAACCCTTCATAGGTACACACACAGCAGCATCAACTTTCTGCAACTGATTATTACCCTTTCGAGACGATGGAAGCCTGAACCTCGAATCTTCACATTTGTTGGAAGCCTACATAGAGAGGCAACATACATATAAGCAAATTGATCAATTAGGAACATTGGTCAAATAAATTAAAAAAAAGAAGGAAAAAAAAAGGTGATTTCATTCCATGTACTGTATATATAAGCAGATAAAAACAATATAGCAATGGAAGGAAATATCCACACATTAAACAAGTCCTTCAGCAGATTGCAGCCCTTTCAACAAATCACCCTACCCCCCAAATAAAATGACATAGGAAAGGACTATGTTTAAAGCTTGCTGTGATGGCCTCAATGACAAACCAGATACTACAGTGAAAAGAACTGGATTTTTTTAAGACTTTAATTAAAACAATTAGTTGCCATATAAAAAAATATGATAAAAAAAAAAAAAAAAAAAGGTGAAACTGAATACCAACTACAGGGTACATCAAACAGCTAAAGTGTCAACATAGAAATCTATTAAGGAATAATGTGTATAGATAATATACCTTTCCAATCACAATCCATTCACCATCCTGCCAGCAAAGTCTTGCCCGAACATCAAACTTATTCAATTTGAGTTCAATGGTAGATCCAAGTATCCTAACCAAAAGGTAATTATGTACCAAAACCTTCAAAACTATGGCCATCTTCCAAGAATAGTTGTAAAAAACCTCAACAACATCACCAGATACCCAATCCTGTAATACATCCACCGTAGGTGGGCAAGGCCTAATCGCTTTCCGGGACACTCTTTCAACCATTCCATTCCCTGAAAGCTCCACATCCCCTTCATACTTAATAGTGTAATTGTGGCCATTACCACCTACTATCTCGGCACACCGCCATGATCCCGACGGCATCTCCTTTTGGGTCAATACCTCCACTTTGGTACCCTTCTTGAATCTCATCATAAAATCAACCTTTTCACACTAAAAATCAAATCTAAATACACCTGTTACATGAAAGGAAACCCAGAATTCAGGAAGATTACAAAACAGTAAAAGCAAGATCAATGACTAAAACTTACATGCATAAACGATACTACATAACAAATCATGTGTAACTGATACCAATTTGTAATTAAGACTAAATTGATATTACAGACAAAATAAATAAATATATAAAAAACCAATTTAAAACCCAATTTTCAAATTCCAACATTTTAAATTTCTCTTTTCTCAATATTAATCAAAATCCCCCCAAAAAAGAGTTAATTTAGCAGTGAAACCAAACAACGATCACATTTCTTACAAAAAGCCAATCATCACTTTATGAACTAATGAACAACAAAATCAAAATTCCAGAAAAGATAACAAAAAATTAACAAAAACCATCAAAATCAGCAATCTAAGAACCACAATCAGCTAACATCAAACATAAAATTCATGTAAAAAAATTGATACAAACAGCAATAATCAGAATAATGTACAGATTAAAAGATCAAATAAAAGTAAAAAAAAAAAATGCTTGAAATTGAAAGAATTAAAAGATGAATAAAAGATTATAGAGAGAGAAAGCAAAAAATACCTGAATTTGGAAGAAGAAATTGCTCTAGTTTGGTGAAGAAGAAGAAGAAGAAGAGGAAAGGGGGGTTTGCGTTTTGTTGGTTTGTTTGTTTGTTTGCTGGTGGGAGAAGTTTGTGGTTTTTTTTTTGCCTTTTCTTTTTTTTTTTCTTTAATTTCAAAAATATATATATATATATATATAAAATAAAAAATAAAAAATACTTGTATTTATTTAGGGGTGCCTTAATTTGGTTGTAAAATCTAAATTTTTTTTGACGATAGGGGAAAAAAAAAACCAAAAACAAAAACTATTGTATGAATATGGTATAAAACAAAATAAATAAAAAATATGAAATGAGAATATGCTTATTATTCTTGCTTTTTTATTGGGGCATGCAATAGGATTTTTTTTTACTAATAATGTTTAATTTGGTTAGTACTATGGTAAGACAAGTTGTCGAATGATTAAGAATAGCTTGTTGAGGAGGAGTTAATTGTATGACATTATTCTTATATACTATCTTCGCCTACTCTTTTAAAAATGCACAATTTTTCTTTTGAAATATGAAAATGATTTTTGTAATGGAAAATTTATTTTGAGATAAAATTTTAGCAAATGATCCTTTTAGATGTAATTTGATTGTTTCTTGTTTTAGTAATTAGATATTGTGTGATCATCATATCACAAGAAATAGGATTTTAAATTCATAAATGACTATGATTTGTTTCTTGTTTGTATATTGAAAGATCATTTAGGATTTGGATATGATGTGGTAATATGAGAAAGTAGATTTTTTTTTGTACCTCAAAATCTTATGTGATATTCTTATCAAATAGTTTTATGGAAACATATAAGGGAAAACTTTTTTTTTTTTTCTATTCCAAACAACAATAATAATATAATCTTTAAGGATTCACATTAAAAGAAACAATGCCTAAGTTTGAAGAAATATTAAGTATTGAGTTAATTTGATTTAATTAGAAAGATGATCTTCAAACTTTGAGCATCTTACTAATGGTTTATAATAATAGAATTGCCTAGTTACAAATGCTAAATATAAAGATAAAGTCTTGCACGTTTATATTCAAAGCTTGTCCATATTGTTGTTTTCATGACTTCATATAAAATGAATCAAGAAAAAAAATATATTAGACCGTCAACATATCATATTGATACAATTACCTAAGAATAAAATAATGTAGTCCTTTAAAATGAAAAGTAATATCCTTTCACAATTGGTTATCACGGTGCAAGTAATTTTAGTTTTTAAGATACTTGTTAGGAATTATGCATGATTTGAGCTTGACCGGTATTCACATGAGAATCTTCCAACTTTATAAGTAAATTATCAACTAGAAATTTTAGAAATTATTTAGTGTATACACTAGCTTAATTAAAATTAGAAAATAAAACTTGTGTTTCTTTATTAATTGAATAAATAAAGAAGCAAGTCAACAATGTATAAACAGTCCACATTAAGATGGTTTAGCATTATGTTTATTTAATGTAAATTAAATACAAAATGCTAAACAATACTAGCTACTTCGTAATTTATTTATTTTAGGGCACAATCCCAACGCGAACATGACCACGAGCCCACAATATATACTCAATCCATTCAAAAGTAGCCATATTTACAATAATTTTGAGATATTCAAACCAGTTGTTATCTTTCTTTATTCTGTAATAATAATTGTAGAGTAATCTAACATATTTTGACAGAACACTCATAAAAATTTATGCTAAGTGGTACCAAAGCTAAAGTTTATAAATTGATATTAAAAATTTTACACTTATCGACTATTACTTGTATTTGCTTTCATTGATGACAAATAATAATAACAGAAAATATCCATTAAAATAAAGGGTCGAAATGTAAAAGTGTTAACTATGGTCATCAACTAAGAAAAGGTCAAATAACAGCCTCTTAAAAATAAATACAATTCAAGTGGCAGCCAACCAATATGGGGCATTGGGTCCATCATATGACCATAGAATTTCTTATAAAAAAATTTCAATCTTTAAAAATAACCCAAAGTTTTTTGTGTTACAAATGACTAACAATTGCTTGCATAAGCACCAAAATACCAACATTTTGGAGTTGGTATACCAGTGTATAATTATTAACATTTGTAGACTAACTTTTTATCTTTCCCTTCATTTTCTCTTGTTATAACAACCTTCTTGTGTGAACGGTCAATATTAGGATATTAATCTACATAATGAGAGGTTTGACAATGACGAGGACAACAATGTCAAAGTCTTAATTGAATTCAATAGAATGGATTCGATGCATAATTATATTAAATTAATGCAAAAATGTTATCTTTGGTGGTTGTTAACGGAGATTACTACGGATATTCAAGATCTCAACAAATATCACTCTATTTCTTTTAACCATTTAACTAAAAAAATTGGGGGGGGGGGGGGGGGGGGGAACAAGAAAGATATATAAATTATTTATTTTTGTGTTACAACCTTACAACATGATATTGAGTGACACATTCATTACCACATCATGTGATCATATCTTCCTTCACCACATTCAATAATTATTTGTTACATCTATCACTCACAATAAAAATTAGTGTAATTCTTGCAACGTCACTGTTGGTATTGCTAGAAAATCAACATAAATTTGTACATTACGGGTATATAATAACCTTTTTTTTCCAATTTTTAATACAACGTATTAATTACCTTTATAAGGAGGACTAAGTAGCTAATTTTTGCGAGGAGTGAGAGCTAGGGTTGTTCACATTAGGTTAACCATTAATTAAATTTTAAATCAATACTTTTTTGATCTTCTAATAGTTCCAACCCTAATACATATTAAATATAAACAATAATAAGTTCCAATTAGTTGGATACAAACCGATAAATATTCTTTTAGAGTTAACTTACATAATTATATATAATTTTTTTCCTACGGTTTTTTTTTTTTTTTTTTTTTGCACACCCCTAGTGAGAGCAGTGACTCTGGACCATACAATAATATATGGAAAAAAATTGAAGAATTAAAGCAATATTAATTCATGAATTCACAATTACAAAAATCACGCTGCTCTGCCTCAAAAGAAGAAGAAGAAGAAGAAGAAAAAAAACCTTACTAGGGATACTAATTACTTACCAACCCATAAAGATATATTCAATTAATATCCGTGATTAAAAAGTCATACAAAATACTTTGTCTTACAAATACAACAATTTAATTTTATATAAATAAAATTATTCTTACAAGAAGAAATTCAATACAATTATTCCGTCCATTGGAATTTGATAGTCATGTTTTAATTTTTGTACAAATCTATCAAAATATGTAAACTATGCTATACATACATGAAAACTAATCAAACAAAATCTCACACGAATATATACTAATTCTTGTAGATTTTCTAAGTGAGTATTGGATTCAATTTTTATTAGGATTAATAAAGATTCCATATAAAAATAATAATATCAAACAAAAAATTTATGTACATAAAATTAAGCGGAGTACAAAAGACTATATATATATATATATAGGAAAATAAAAAAGAAAAATAGGAAAATGGTTGCTTTATATATATATTTATATAGAATTTTAGATGAACAAATGTTGATCACATATAATAATCCATATGAATTGAGAATGAAGTTTGCAAATAAAACATAAGGGGGAAAATGATAGTTGGAGAATTGAAGAATAGGAAAACTATTGGCAAGAATTAAACGGTGTAGACCTTTTTTCAATCTAAAGGAATTGAATTGGTCCTACCTTTTCTTCCTACGGGTATACACATCTTAGCTTATGGGATGAGACTCCATGGAGAAGAGAGTGGTCCTTGATTCACATGCCACTATTTGTCTTAACTTGTAAATATTTGGTTAGTGACACATTTTTATTATTATTATTTTTTATATAAAAAACGATTATGAAATATTTTTTAAAATGGCATAAATAAGTTGGGAATATTGAAATATGTATATTGCTTTATTGTTTTTAAAGCACGAGAATAAAAATAATTAACTTAAATAACTTATTTGTATTATTTGTAGATAACTGATTGTATAATGAGTTAGTCACACTTGTATAGTTGTATATGCCCGTTGTTCCATGAATTTTTTTCATTCTTAGTTAAATGTTGATTATTGTTTATGTAATTTATATAAATATAAGAAAAAATATTATTAGATTTGTTAACTGATCAATAAAGGATTATTTCGAACATCTTCATGAGATGTTTACATGGTGATTGGAATCTACATATCTTACATCTATTGACTACCACTACAATACAATAGATTTTCAAAATGACCATATAATTACACCAAACTCATTTTCGGAACATTATATGCCTATTGGTAGAGTTATGATTCCAAATATATACTTGTATACTTTTATGACCTCAAGGGACAACCTCCACCCCCCCCCCCCCCCTCCTTAAATTTTGAAAAAGTTTCTCGTCGTGGATTATAAGCTCGGCCTTCTTATATTTAGGCGATTATCCTTTTTAAGTTTGAAAAAGAAATTAAGTGGATGAGGTGCTTCCTATGCACCCCTAATCCTCAATGTAGCCAGTTACGTATATACACCTCTTTGGCTCTTTGTCTTCATTAACCCAACACCATCACAAGCTTTTACGTGACTAAATAATGGTTGCATATGGTTCCAAATAACATAATTGACATTGGGAAATATCCCCTACCATCACATCATGTATGCCTTTTCGACACTAAATTTTGAAATCTTCATAAACAGTCTATTTTTGTTTATTATAGTCATTTAATTTAGTACTCGGGAATATGTTCGAACCAATCAAAATTAGGCAACATGGTGTTTCCTAAGGTTAACCTTGAAAGGCTTAGTTGGTGCCCGAAATTGCCTAGTTCATGCTTAGACATACCCAAATAATACCACCTACTCTTGTTAAGTCGAATCATTAGTTTAATTGATGAAGAAGATAGCATTACATGTGTAGTTAGCCATACATTAAAACAAAAATTATCATGTAATCATACTAAACCCAAAGATTAGTGTAAACGTGACTTATGAACCAATCTTAGCTTTAGTAGTTAGTTTTATATACGTTTCTCAATTTCCAAGCTTCGCCATTTCACCAATATCTCCTTATTATACGTCAACTTTATTTTAGGGATTTTTGGCTTTTCCTCATTTCTTGCGCTCTCACATTGGGTAAATATCAATTTCATTATACGGATTTATATTAATATATAAAAATTGTTTTATGCGCCATTCATCTCATAAAAAAATAATTTCCTATATAACTTTAAGTTTTTCTTTCGAAATGTTCATTTTATAAATTAAATAACACACATTCTCTAAAAAGGCGAGTGTACGTTAATTTATTGTAATACGTGTTAAAGTTATCGTAAAACTATTTAAAGTTACCCTTTATACTACTAAAGTTATTATTTTTCTAATAATAATTTTTATCTTACAAAAAACTATAATGTATTAGATTAATCATATTAGCCTTTATAGTATGTAATCATGAGTTATAAGAAATTACACATTAAAATAAAATTCAAATTACTGTAAAAAAAAAAAAAAAAAACCAACGACAAATTAAAAGTTACCCTTTAAGGAATTAAAGTGACCATAAAAATAGTTATAGTTACCCTCAATCTGACCGTCTTACAATAAAATTAACGTACACCCACCTTACACAAACTTTATTAATTAGATAAATCCCATGCATTATCACGAATACGATATTTGTATTTATACTTATAAAAATGTTTAGGTTTTCTTTAATCCTCTTTGATTAATTTGCCAGCTTTGTTGGTTGTCTTTGCATGCATGTATTGCTTGGAAGGTAGAATTTTGTAACAGAAATAAAGTATAACGGCTACTTGTGGCATTATTCCCTCGTTATGACGGCAGCATATATAATACTCCGTACTAGCTATTTTTGCATGATTACTAAAAAAGGGGAGGAAAAAGAAATAACATTTCTGTCATTGCTTTAGCTAAATTGTGGGAAATACATTTCTCCATCATTTCAATAGTTTCCATCCGCAAAATTAGCATAAATTAAATAGGACCACTTTTTGTTCAAAAAAAAAAAAAAAGAAAAAAAAAATTAGGACCACTTTCACCTACATAATAATAAAAAATAAAATAAAATTCAATAAAGAGGTGTACAAAATTATTTGGGTTACATGCCGTCAAATAAAAAAAATAAAAAATTATTTAGGTTACATCAGCTCAAATTACATACGTAGTATTAATATTGGACCTTTTATTTTATAGTTTTATAATTGAGAAATAAAAAATAAAATAAAATAAAAATTAAAAAAGTGTGTAAAAATGAGTCAAAAAAACTCTAATAAGATGGTTAATCTCGTACTTATGTGAACTTTTAAGGAAATGCCTCTTTTAAAGAAATTAAATTAGTCCAACTTTATAAAAAATCTCAAAATAAAAAGTGTTTCAAACTTTTGAGAACATCAGGGCGAATAATGCGCGCGATGCACGCGTCATAGCTAATTATGTCCGATGAGCTATTTCGATATGACCTTATGTCACAAAATTAGTTGTTGGCAACATTAACGAGGGAAAATATGTAAACAAATATATTTAAGGGTATAAATATCCGCACACTATTCTGTAAGGAGTTTAATAAAAAAAAAATTAACATTAATGAGGGCAAATAAGTCAAATACTTTAGTGGATATAACTGTCCAAACATTATTCAGAGCATCAATAATGCACTAGTTCTTAAAATGTAGTTCTTATTCTCTCTCTTATTCCGCACCATCAAGGATTCTTATTAAGAGTTACCCTCAATATAACCTAAGAAATGCACTAGTTCTTAACACTATATCTTAATCTCTCTCTTCTTTCTCTCTTTTACTTTTAATAATTGCTCCATCATTACTTTATTTCTCCAACACTTTTTTTTAAAAAAAAGAATTATTATTATTATTGTTGTTGTTGTTGTTGTTGTTGTTGTTGTTGTTGTTGTTGTTGTTGTTGTTGTTGTTGTTGTTGTTGTTGAGAAATAACAAAAATCTAGTAAGTCAATCGATTTACACGAAATTAATGGGGAGCCGAGATACAATCTGGGCCCTCACCCCTCAAGCTATAGCGAACCCAATCCTGTTGAAGATGTGAGCAGCTGCACGAGCACCAATATATGAGTCCTAGCGAATGCCTAAACCCGATTCAGCAACGCAAAAACATCCCTCTTTAATTCCCCCAATTAAGAAAAGGAGAAAGGAAGAAAACCATAGCCAATAGCCCTGCAACGCGCCCTATACTTGTCCCGCTTCCGCTGAGCCACAGCCGACATAACACGACCAGGAACGAAGTCAGACAACCCAGATTGAGTCAAAGGAGAAGACCCCGTCAAGTCAACACATACATCAAGGCCTCTATCCCAGGAATAAAGCAACACATCTGCTGGTCGAAGAGCCCTATCGTTCCCTCCAGTCAACCCAACGTTAACCTCCTTTCTTGCAGAAATCCCAGACCGAAAACAAATATCAATAAGGGTGTCACGAACAACGTTGTGCCGATGTTTAATACCCACCATCCCAACACAAGACACTGCATGATCCCCATAAATATCCCTATCAAAAACCCTTGAGCAAGTAGAGCACGGTGTCGAAACGGAGAACAAAGGAACACTCAACCGGTAGCAAAGAACACAATGGTAAGTCTTACCATTCATAGTCTGACCTAAACCTAATATCGGGACCGCTCGCAACCAGGCCAAAGTGTGATCCCCCTGCTGGGACTTCCATCAGGCAACCTGACGCGGAGATAAGGAGAAAGTGAATTCTGCAGATGCAGTGACCTTCGTGAAATATATATTTGCCAATTTCTTTATGAGTTAGGGGCAGCGATCTCACTAGGGTTACTCATAAGGTCAGTCTCCACAATCCAATTAAAAAGACTAAGAGCACCATCGAAGGCCAGTCCTGGACCAACAATACCAAAATTGCGAAGAAGCGTAGCCTGAAGACCAGAGACTGCAAACGCGACGCAAGGAAAGCATAGTGCCGAACATCACCCGTTGAATAGACACCCAGTCCACCATAAGCAAAAGGTAAGGTGTCAAGTCGCCATTGCCAATCACCAAAACCAGGCCCCAAAACAGTTACAATGCGCTCCAAAGAAGCCCGAAGAGCCACATAAAAAGAAGTCTGGGCCGCTTTAAAAAGACGAGGGGGACAAGTGCGCATAACAAAGTAGAGTTTAGAAACCCCAGTACACGCACGAAGAAGTAACAACTCACATTGGGGATCATCGAGCTTAGCAACAGCATCCATTAGCACAATGGTCTTCGACACTCTCTGCGAAACAAACTCACCACAGAAAGAGGAATCCGCACTGACAGGACCACGAAGCAACTTAACACCATGCACAGGACGAGCAATATCTGGAGGAAAGACACCTATGAGACAACTACAAGGGTCCTCCGAGGGTCAGAAAACTTCCGTTTTCTCAATGTTGACATGGAGGCCGAGACAAGGTCCCTCCGCCAAAATCAACTCCATAACCTTACCTACTACTAAGGTGTCACCAATAATAGGGTCGTCATCCAAATACCAAGCCTACAAACATATGTCAAAAGAATCCCTGATTCGGCACACCAACGGATGAAGAACCAAAGCAAAAAGCAAAGAGCTAAGAGGATCACCCTGCTGCACTCCTTGACATGACCATAAGATATTATTAATGTAAATATAAAAAATGGCATTAATGCTAAAAATAGAGTTAACAATTTTTGCATACAACAACACCTTAACAATTGGAAAAATTAGATACGTACGCAATAAAATATAACAAAGAAATACATATAAAAAATTAAAAGTAAAGGGAATAAAAATACATTTTACTCAACACCACCATGACCAAACCGATCCCAAATATTTTCCGTCAAGTCGTCTTGCAGTTGATCATATGTTTCCCTATTTCATAATCTCATCCTATTCCTCAGGTATGATTGCATATCGGCACGCCAGCGTATATTATAATTAGTTGGTAATTCACCATCATCTTGTGCTTGATCAAACTGACTAAAATCTCCATATTCTTTGTTGTGAAGGTAACCTTGTCGTTCATCTTCAACAATCATGTTATGCAATATGATACAAGCTACCATTTTTTTTTTGCACAACTTCTATTTTCCATATTAGTGCCGGGTTTCGAATTATAGCAAATCTTGCCTGGAGAACTCCAAAAGCACGCTCAACATCTTTTCGCGCCGACTCTTGGCGTTGTGAAAAAATTTTTTGCCTTTGGACCTTGTGGAAGCCGATATGCTTGTACAAAAGTTGCCCATTCTGGATATATACCATCTGCTAGGTAATATCCCATATTGTATTGGTGACCATTTACTTCAAAATTCACTGGTGGTGCTCGTCCTTCAAATATATCGTTAAAAATTGGCGAATGATTTAGTACATTAATGTCGTTTGATGAACTCAAAACTCTAAAAAAAGCATGCCATATCCATAAATCTACTGATGCAACTGCTTCTAATATGATTGTAGCTTTACCATCTCGACCTTGAAATTGTCCTTGCCAAGCAGTAGGACAATTTTTCCACTCCCAATGCATACAATCTATACTTCCCAACATGCCTGGGAATCCACGCACCTCTCTAATGTGCAGTAGCCTCTGTAAGTAATCTTGATTTGGCTTTCTCAAATACACGTCTTGAAACTCAACAATTATAGCATCAACAAATTTACATAAGGCGTTGAGTGAGCTTTTCTCACTAATTTTGACGTACTCATAAATTTGGTCAGCTGCTACTCCATATGCCAAAAATCTCAAAGCTGCAGTGCATTTTTGTAATGGTGAAAAACCGGGCTTACCAACTGCATCATATTTTTGTTGAAACCATGGATCACGTTGTTGGACTCTGTCAACTACATGAAGAAATAACGACCTTCTCATTTTGAACCTTCGTCGAAATTGATCATCAGTATATACAAGATTCTCAGCAAAATAATCTAAGAATAAGCGGTTGTGACAAGCAACACGATCTCTTGGTCGATTGGGAGAACGGTTCTTCCTTTGCCTTCGAGAAGTTGAACCCCTTCTAGTGAGCTCAGTAACTGTTTAAGCTACAATTTCATTGAGAAGTGGCATTTCCATGACCCAATTACGAACCATTTGTCGAACTTGTGAATGAGGGTTTGAATTTTCATAATCCGAGCTCCTAGAGCTTGAACTTGAACTTGAACCAGAAGGCATAATTATTTTGAGAATAGGGTATATTGTATGTTGTGACAACATTGATGTACAAGAAGATGGTGTTATATAAATTTGAAAAGTATAAACTGCTTGTAAATAATTGATCTTCCATGAAAGATACTTGACACACCATGCAATGTCACACCACAGTCATATCAGGTCTGTACAATACTATTCATGTCAGCAGAAGAGTTCATAGACTGCATCAATAAATCACCTTCAAAAGGTGATATGACAAAGACAATACAATGTCACAACAAGATAATAATAGCTAATACATTATTTTTTGCAATAAAACGTCAACTTACAAGATTAAGAATTAAATTAATACATCCACTAGTGGCAACTAATTAAACATAACAGTCACTAATGATCTACAATTACATTGAATTAACGATGATATTTAATGCCATCATATAGTCATTAATTCGTTCCATAACTTATTTTTACGAGCTTCACCTTCCTCTGATAAATTATCTCGACTTAGTAACGCTTGTAGTAACTGATATTTAGTTCTCTTTCTTTCAGAATTTGGGCTTGTTTTTTTCTTTCCTCTCTAATTCGTTCAACTTCAACAAAGTCCTTCATCGCCTTTGCAGTTTCTTCATTTGAATGTTGCATACTTGCAAGTTATTCTTGCAAAGGATCAATACCATCAATTGTCTTCAATTTCTGTTTCCTTTTTGCTTGCTTTTGACCCCCTGGTCGTGTTTAGGGGTTAGCACTTTGTGGTGTTCTTTCTGCAGATGACGAAGAAAAATTTCCACTTTCGTCTAGTCGTAATAAATTCTCACTCCCCTCACTACCTCCAGATTGATTGATAGAACTTGTAGTTTGATAATTTAGGTTGGTTTTTTTAACCTTTCATATGAAAAGTCAAATAAGGGTGTTGAAGAATCGGTGGTGTAGACAAATGCATTCATAAATTTAGGTTGGTTTTTTAACCTTTCATATGCATAGTCAAACTTAAAATCTTCCTTCATATCAGAAAAATAAATTGCATTAGCTTCATTAGTGACATCTAAAGTACACTCACCGCTTTTCCGTTGTTTGCTTGATCAACACATGCAGCGTATTTTACGACCGCGGGTCGTATTTTTTGCAAATGACTCTTGAATTGTTGAAGTTCTCTTGGCCTTCCCCCGTTGCGGTGCTTGTTGCAGTAGTTTACTATCTTAGTCCAAAATGCTTCACTAGTTTGATTTGTACATGTATCTTATCAGGCGCATAATTGAGCCACCCACTAATTAGAAGGTATCTTGGGCTTTATTCTAAGATATCCTCTTCCCTTTATTATTTGAAGGTGTTGGTGTTGATTGATCATTATCAACTTCATTTTCTTCTTGAGATTCCATGGCATTAATGTTAATGTTACTAAGTGAAATACCGGACCCCCGAACCATCACCATTATGATCAGCCCCATCTTCACCTTGAGAATCCCCGGCATTTGGTAAATTTGGACTGTTTAACATATTTGTAAAATAATTTGAAGAATTTTGTGTGGAGTATTGTAATACCCCGTATTTTGATACGTATTTTCTAAATTAATTAATTAAATATTATTTCCTAAAAAGGGTACTTTAGTAATTTAAATTACTATTTGAATTTTGGAGCCAAAAGTATTTTGAAACCTAATTATTATTTTTAGATTTTGGATAAGATTTATTATCCATTTAATTTATTTTAAAAACCGGATTATTTACATATTTCGGATATTTTAATTAAATCAAAAACTATATTTTATTATTTAATTAATAAGGTCCGAAATTCCTAATTATTGACTAAGATTTTAAGATTTTCCTAGTGTGGAAAATCTGATTTTCTAGGTTAATTTATTTAGTGAATAATTGGTATTTTATTAATTAATTATTTTATTCAATAAAATATTATTTACACAATTATTTTTAATTCCTTAAATCTAGCAAAATAACTCCCTAAAATATACTAATAGGATCCGAATATTTGAGCTATGGAAGCTCAATATTTTCGGCCCTCATGGTCATATTTTGGGTGATCTATTTTGGAAAATTGTATTTTTAATTATCTCCTTAAAATCTCTTATTTTCCTTAATTTTATTTCTCCATCTCCTAAATATTTTATCATCTTATTTTCCTACCTTATATCTTCCTTGATTATTCCCCAAGTAATCTCTTTTTCCATATTATTTTTCATGACAACACACTTTCCTTAATTCTATTATTCTTAATCACCTTAATATCAAAACTTTCCATATTTCTTTCATTCTCTTCTCCAAGTAATTCCTTAATTCTTTTTGCCATAATTCTTCATACATTTTTCTACCATAACTCATGCATGAGCTAGCCTATAAATACCCATTGATTCATGGCCAAACACTCACACCAATTCTCTTCTTCTCTCTTACTCTTCTTCTCCTCTTTTCTAAAAGAAAATCAGCCCGTATATCTTTGGAGCCAATTTTTGGGCACTTCTGATCAGTTTTGGGGTTTTGTTATTTCACGGAAAATTGTTCCTCTCAAAAACTACTTGAGGTTAGGCTCAAGAATCACCTAATTCAGAGTTATATTGAAGGAGTTACAGCCTCTGCTAGTTCTGCCTATTCTTTCCAACGCAAATCCAATTCTTCTCTTTTTCCTTTCTTTTCTTCCTTGCACCACCACCAATCACCACGACCGCCACCTCCAGCCACCTGCTGGAAGGCTTCCCTTGCCTCCACCTCTCTTTATTTTTCTTGGTTTTCTACCTTTTCTTCTTCTCTTCTATTATTTAATTATTATTATTATTATGGGGGATTTATAAAATATTATAAGTAGTTTTAATTAAATAAAATCAGATTTTTATTCATGTTTATGAAAAATAATTTAAAAGGTTCATGTACATATAGTTGGAGTTTTTTAATTTAATTGTTGTGATTATTTGTTAACCTTATATTAATTAAGGTTATATTTATTTGTAGGGTGTGTTCAATCAAGGTTCTTGAAGTCTATTTGTGTAATTGCTAGCAAGGATCAAATGTACGTTTAGGTGGCTAGATACCTTTGGAAGTGATTGGTTTGAATAACATGTTTTATATTATTTTATTGGTGATTGAATTAAATTGATTTGAATTATGATTTATGAAACAAAGTATGGTTGGAGGAATTGATTTTAATATTTGTTTTAATAAATGTATTTTTGAAGGATTGATTTTAGAATCATGTTTTGAATGGTTTGAATTACTTATCATGTTTAAATAAAGGAATTGATTTGAAAAGCTTGTTGAATTAAATAAAAGGTTTCTCAAAGGAAGAGTTATTGATTTTGAAAATTTATTTATATGAGATTTAATTCTCAAGTATTTATTAAAAGGTTGATTTTGAAGGCATGTTGAATTAAATAAAAAGGAGTTTTGATTAAACCTATTAAAAAGATTGATTTTATTTAAGGGGGAATTATTGAATTATTATTATTAAAGCTTTATAAGCATGTTAGTAATCCCACTATGCGGATTTGGTAGATAAGACTTTGGACTTTGTATGACCGAGTCTTTCCTCAAGAATAGCCTTGCAATATAAGGAGACTAGCTTGGGGGGTGTGCACACTTGGGTGAGGAATTGGTTTTTAAAAGAGGAATTAGTTTTATTGAATTGATTATTGAAATATTGAATTATTGGAATTGATTTTATAAATCGTTTCATCAACTTATTGAATTATTGAGAATTGGTTTGAAACATGAGTTTTGGAATTCATTGGATTAATTATTGGAATTGGTTTTAAAAGCATGTTTGCAAATAAATTGAATTTACTTACCTTGCACTTATCGTACTTAGCATATTTTGCTAATTCATATTTCCTATTTGTTTTGGTTCGCCCTGTTTACCGTAATGGTAAGCAGTGTTGACTATTTTCAGGTGGAGTCATGAATGAGCATATGGGAGTCTCGGGATTTGCTTCACCTAGTTTAGGAATGTTGGTCTTGTCTTTATTTTGAGTACTCATAACAATGTTACTATTTTTATAAGTATTAATAAAAGAAATTAAAGTTGAGTTTCCGCTGCAAGTTTTGTTATTGAGTTAAGTATTTTGAGTAGACTTGCGTAATCACGCAGCGGTAATACGCCTAAGTCTATCTCTACGGTATAATTAATTATACGTATTATACTAGTATTTCCATAGAGGGAGATTTGGGGGTGTTACAAGTATGGAGCAAAAGATGAAGGTGACATACTATTCCCCATGTTTTGGTGATGGTTAAAAGATGGATGCAAATTTGGATTTACTTGAAAATTTGGGTTTGTTGGGTAATTTGGACGGGTGGGAAAATTTGGATTATTGGGATAGTTGTGATAGTTAGGGCAATTTTGATTATTAGAGTAATTTTGAGTGTTTGGATAATATTGAAAATTTTGATTGTCTATTGTGAAATTTGGTAATCTATAATTTGGATTTATTGAGTAATTTGGTAATCTATAATTTGGATTTTTTTTATCCATAATGAGAAATAAGTGTTTGATAGAGTTTATCACAAGAAAAAAAAAATAATAAATAAAATAGATTGAGTATGGTGATTTTGGTGAAATTTCATGAAGTTGTCTACTTTTATATGTGAGCAAAAAATAAGTAACCGTTGAACATATTACACTTTGTGAATTTTTTTTTACTTACAATATAAATTTTGGTAAAAAGTTAAAACAAAAAAAGAAAAAAGAAAATAATGCATGCAAAATATCATGCAAATAC